CAGGGGTTTCCTTATGCTAGCTAAGGATGGATTTAGAGCTGAACACTCAGATATGTGCTAGAGGACCCTGCCTGTACATGAGATGGTTCTGTCAGGCAGAGACTTGCACTCTTACAGGTAAAGGATGGCCAGCTTCAGGAGTTACATTATAAAAGATACTAATTAAAAGACCTTCTAGAATGAATGCCTGAATTGAAGGATAACCCCAAGGCAAAACCTGACATATAAAGGCAGGTTTTTTTGTTAAAACAGATTACAGAATAAATGACGCTGGAAGGGATCTCTGGAGCTCACCTTGTCCAACCCACTGCTCAAAGCAGTATCAGCCAGAGCAGGCTGCTCAATATCCCCCCTACAAGGCCAAGCTTTCCAGGACATAATCTAACAGACATACTTTCCTGGTGTTAAACTGAAGTCTTGCTATATGCACCAGCCTCTTTATTCCTAAATACCCAAACACAGGGAGTTTGTTGCTTATTTTCTCCTTAAACAGTAAATGATTTAACTAAGAACATTATCTGACATTGGTTTAACTCCAAACAAAGCTGAAAGCAACAGGGTGGTTTTTCACCCTGCAGTCCTGCAACAGCTCTTAGAACAGTCAGCACACCAGTGAAAGCATTCCACTTATCAGGGTGCTATTCTGCTAAACTCCATGCAGGATTAAGTATCAACATCAAGAGTCATCTATGAATTTGTAATACCATGCATTTAAACAAAGAATTGCACAGGATACTTTTAAGCTATGCAAAACCACCTTGTCTTAGTTTTCTTTTTGAATCTCAAATAAAAGGAACACACACTCAAACGTTTTAAACACACTCAGACGTGTGACATTCTCTACTTGCTCATCAACACATCAGTTTTATCTTTTCTAGTATCTGCCAGCCAATATTGCATGCAAAATCTTCTTTACAGACACTTCCCTTGTGTTTAATGTAGACAGGAGTCCATTAAAAAATCCTTCTCCTCAGCTGGCAGACCTTGGGATGTAACAGAACCTTCCAGTTAATACAGGTATCTTCTCATCCTATTAGTAGGTTACCCAGTTATCAAAGCAGCAGTTTTATATTTTTGCACTCTAAAGAACAGTGTCTGAAATAATTTAGGTACGTTTAACAACAAAATGAAACAAAATTTCATGGGTGTCCATTTTTCTAGGACTATGAAGACCTCAACAAATTAAAACCAAGAATTTCTTATTAGTCTTTCGTTCAAACTCAGACAACCTAAGAGTGTGCTTTGCAGGACTCAAATTTCCAATGATGGAATGGGTAATGACATGTTCTACATGACATTTAAAATATGCTCCAAATAAATTTAAAAAGCCCAAACCAACAGATAAACAGAAACTCTAATAAATTACTTTAGGTAAAAATTAACTGAAGTTCTTTGAGGTGCATCTACCTAGAAACAGGCCTCTAGCTTTGGGAAGAAGCACACTACCACATTACAAATTCAAACAACTGACATAATGCTTTAAGACTCTGAAGAACAATCAATTGGAAGTTAGAAAATCATTTTTTTGTAAGCAACAAGAAGGATCCCACCTGGATGTGTTCCTGTGTGATGTACTCTAGGTGACCCTGGTCTGGCAGGGGGGGTTAGACTAGATGATCTTTCGAGGTCACTTCTAACCCCTAAGATTCTATGATTCTATGATTTAGTGTTTTGTCTTGGGTGGTTAGTTTTAAGATTTTATTTTTAAATCTCTGTATTCATTTTGAAGCAAAGGAATAACTGCAGCTCTTAATGAAAAACTAGCTCTGAAGTGGATTAGACTTTAAATATTCAGCTCCCAGTAATGATTAGATGAGCAATAACTTGATTCAGCTAACATTTTTGCAGAAAAAAATCTCCGGTCAGAGCTTTAACAGGTAACAACAACCTACAGGAAGACAAAGCTATGCTCTGATAACAGGAATTTAATATTGCCTTCTCTGCTCTCTGCCATCCACCAGGTGAAGGAAAAGAACTGTCAGAGGCTCAAAAGGCCCAATAAGTGACTGGAGGGAACACTGAACATTAAGTCCTACTGAGAAGACTTAAAAAAGAACAATTTACTTTTGAACTGAGGACTCAGTAATTTTGCTGAGATAAGGGAGGTAAGAGTAACTGACTAAAAGCTTTAAATACTGAACTTGGACTCTGAAGAGGTGTCTGACATTGACAGGCACAAGAGCTGCAGTGTTTGTCCTTAATAAAACTGCCCAGTGAAGGAGCACACCAGTAACTAGGATGAACTTCCCCAGTCTCTGCCGGTAGAAGGAGAAAAAACAACCTAGCAAAGGAAATGGCAGTACAAGCAGCTAACCAGTGTTTAGGCAAGGCTGACTTCTTGTTTTAACTTGGTCTGCCACTGAAAACACTTGGTATGATGGCATTAAAACACCTTTTTCCCCCCCCCCCCCGGAGCTTTAGAAATTGTGTTTTCTGAGACTGCTACTAAAAAGTAACAGTCGCAAGAAGGAAAATGTCTTCAGTCCTGATGGAGGTGGCTGATGCAGCATTTCATGGGAATGTAAACTGAGTCACTCATTCTGAAGAGAGGAAGAGATGCAGAAAACTGTTTCTTAAGAAAAAAATCCATATACAGTCTGGCTACATGTATACTCTTAGCATCTAGACCATGTTTGTGTACCGATCTGTACAGTTTTTAACATTTCTTTGTTATCAATGTTATATAAAGTTACACATGGCAATTCTGCAAGCTTTCTTTATAATCCACTTCATTTTTTAGCACGTTTTTCAGAACAAGTGGTCAAGAAGTGACGATAGGTCAGACTGAACTTGAAAGGGAAAAAAAACTTCATCTAAGGTATAGATCCATCTCCCTTTCTGAAGAGAACACCACTGAGCAGTCAGCTCTTGGACTAAGAGTGACAGTGATTCAGCTTTTCTTCCCTAGCACTTTCTTCCTGTATGGAGACATTCAAAGGACTTTGCATTCCTTTCCAACTAAGCAGCAGTCCAATATTTTAAAATAATATGGATACTTCATACCTACCAGTATTTGACCCAATTTCAAAAGATACTTCCTAGACTTGTTTCCAAGCCTCTTATGAGTCTGTTCTAATACTGGAACATACTGGCTTCTTTTCCACTAAGTGACAGAAATCAGAAGGGATTCTTTAGGTATAAGAGACCCTTCTGAAAGCTTGATGGAGGAATAGTTGGGGAAGAAGAGAGAAGCAAGAAATGAGTAAACAAGCAGTTGAACCACAGGACAAAGCAGCAGCAGCACTCTAAAAACCCCCATGCCATTATACAACAGAATCAACTTCCCCTGGGAGTCTGCAACCCAACTCTGTGAAAAGAAAACTGTTCTTCTCATTAACTTTGCAGAGAAGACTTAAAACAAAGCACGTTAGCTTGCTTAGTCCTGTTCTTATTGAGGGAAACGTTTGGCTTAGCAGATTGGAATTCCAAAGGTTCCTGTATTATAACGGCAGCAGCAGCAGCCACCTCACAACCATGAAGGCATGTCAAAAAAGCCAATGAATTCCCACCACCTTGTCAAAAAGAGTAACAGGAATTCTCTAGTCCAAATGGTCTATCATCTATTCAAGTCCCTCTGCAACACTCAGAGGAAATTATTAAGCCTTCAGAAAGGCATTTGGGAGGTAGATGATGGCACCTGTTTTTAGCCAGTGAAATCATATTTTCTTACAAAGGCCTTGACATTACATTTCCTGTCGCTGAGGATAACTGGTACTGAAGTGAGGACCAGCAGGACAGTTTACCTTTGAAGATTTTCCAAAACCAGTGATTTATTTGGAGTTATAGGTTAACCATATAATTTACTTGGTCAGGGCATTAACAACAGAAAAAAACTTTTGGATTTGCATTACTGGGAACAGAACAAGTAACAGCAAAAAACAAGACAACTGAAGGAACATGAATCCTACAAAATTTAAGAACAAGTAGATTCCAGATGTTGAATTTGGAGATCTTATGTTGCTCTTAAAATGGGAACCACAAGAATCAACAGTAGTTAAAAGAATCCCCTGGGACCTGTTGCTGAAACAAATGGTTTTAACTTTGCACATCTTCAACAAATGTCCACTTTGATCTTTGAATCTCATGCGATGTCTTCTCTTCATCTGTTTATAGCTGGTCAAAATGGAAGATAATTCAGCAGGCTTTGCAGAGAGGTGTTCCCACCCACAGTTCAAGCCTAAAGAATTTCAAGGGCTAGCCTTGATACAAAATCTGTAAATAAGAAGACATTTCCTGCAACTACAACATATTTTGACAAGCCAGAAGCTTTCTCAAGTAGGATGGTTTGGGATCTAGTTGTCAGGTGAGCAAAAGGACCACAGGTGGGTCTCAGGCTGCCAGCACAAGTGATGCAGTGCTCGGTCTTTTCCCTCTCTGTTGCTGCAAACTGTGGCTGAAAGAAAGCTGGAGAACAAGAGGGGTGAAATGAAAGCTGCAGTGAGCAAGCCAGGAGCTAAAGTTACCTGTTAACTTTGTACTAGTAGAACCAGGATCCAGAAAATGTTAACAACAGCTAAAGCAGTAATTCAGCAATGAACTATGATCAGTGGCTTTTAATCCTCTGAAGCAGGTGGAGAAGACAAGCAAATTACCTCAGATGTTTTCTATTTTTAAAAATTGTATTTTAACATAACCTTACACGTTTGCACTTGTGAACTCACCGGGCAATTGGCTGAACAGGATTAAGATACAACCATTTTCATCCATCATTAATATCATCAATGTCAGAAATTAGATTTCATTCCTAAGCTGATAAAGTCTAATAAAAATCACCAAGACTAATTTAGAGAATTCCATTAAATTCCAAATTAAAAGCATTACTCAACAGCCTGGTCTGTAATACATGACTTCAACAGATATTTCAAGTCTCTCTCAATTACATTAAAGAAAGTATGCAGTCAACTACAATCAAAGTTAAAACAAAAAAGTGCCTGTGATCTAAGGATCATTATTCCAGACCTGTTGTGAATCAGTGAAAAGGAGAGTAGCAAAGGACATACCTTGGAACTGCTCCCAAAACAATCAAGTTGGCTTTTTGTTTGTTGTTTCCAATTACAGCATTTTTCATATCTCTGTAAATCCAGAAAGAAAAACAAACCCTGGTAAATTATGCTGAGGTACTAAGGGCTTAATCTATAGAATTTATTATTTCCATGAAGGCTTATCAAGTTCTCTTCCACATGTCCATGCTCCATCTACAGGACTGAGCTGTGCTTCAGGGCACAGTTTCCACAGTCCACAGACTCATACCCCAGAGCTCTGGGATCCCATTATATCCCAGTTTATGCAAGTCAGCAAAACCCAAACTCTCACATGCACACCAGACATGAAGAAGTCTCTTTACTGAAGGAAACTACTGGCTCTTTGTGCCCAGATATTCACTACACTTCTAAACAAAAAAACACTATTGTTTGGGAAAACTACTGTTGATAATATAAACTATTAACTAAGCTACTGGGTGCAGGAAAAGACAAGCTGGGGAAAAAATAAATAAATATATATAAAGGAACAAGAAACTATCACCAGCCTCCAAAGGCAAGTCTCTCTCCCTCCTCTTCACCTCAGGCTTCCTTTTGTGAATTCCAGCATGACACCTACACATCTGTATGTCAAAATCTCACCAAAAAAAGTGGAAACAAAAGCATTTTCCTGTCTGGGAGTTACTGCAAAGTTAAATAATTTAAAGGCATTCATAGTACGGTAAAGGAACAAAGGAAGCATGTTCAAAAGAGGACAATGATTGCACACACTATGTCCTCAGAAAAGGACAAGGTTTGCAACCTTGTTGTTCAGAAAATTGATGCTGTCTCCTAAAAACCACCACTACCTTGTTAAGACTTTTTTTTTTTTTTTCCTCTGTATAAACATACTGAGCATCTATGAATACTGACAGAATCTGAAAAGAAAGCTAGCAACATATGGCTAGGTTCAGAAAATCAAGCCGACACATTTCTAGGAAACTTTCTACTTGTATGGACATTTTTAAGAGCTGAGAGCAAAGCCAGTCCAAATTCAGACATTTCTTTATCAACAAAATACAAAACTGGATCGATGAGAGTGTTTCTAGTTGCAACATTGATAAATTAAGCACTTGCTAACTAAGCCCATGTGACATTCAAATAATTCAGGAGCTGCAGTGGTTGCTCTGAGTTAACAGATTTTCTTGCCACTCTATCAGTCTTTCACCTGCAATCTGCAAATTTTAAGAGACTTACAGTAGCCCTGGTCTTTAAGATCCACCCTGGCCTGCATGAACATTCCACAGACCTAACCTACCCACTGAACTGACACATTCCATCACAACAGGCAGCTGTCCCAAGTGTTAACCTCGCTTCATTAGAGTTATAAAAAACTTAGCCAAGGCAGACACTATCTGGACTGGCAGAAACAGGACCTTTATAAACCTCAATTAGTAGAACATAATTGCTTGTTCTTCCTGGAGTATTTCTCCAAGTGACTCACTCTCCTGCCACAGTTACCTGGCCACAGGAGAGGGTGCTGGAATTTTAAGCCAGTGGAGGCTAACTTCAAGTTTGGAGCTCCAACAAGGGAGCAGCAGTTAAAGCAGTTGAGCACTGAACTGCAGTTCCGTGTATCCCTCAACACAAGCAGAGTCAGGAAACCACTTGAGTTGCCACGTGAGCCGTTACTTCACAGGAATATGCCTACCCAGCACACAGTTCTACATAGCTGAGCATCAGCAGAAAATGTTGGACCTTTCTGCTCTCTCCTCTAAGTCCGGTAACTTCACACCGCAAGACATAAGGCAGAGGAAAAAGAGCAAGACCAGAACCCAGGCTAAGCTGGAAGCCCAACGAAATCTAAGGAATGGACTTGAAGATGTCACTGAACTCAGCAACAGTCCTTCAGCGGTTTCTATGCTGAACACTCGATTTAAAGTATCCCACCATTTTTAAGGGTTTTTGAAATACCAGAGTCAGTCCAAAACAGTGACAGAAGCAATGATCAAATGTCTCAAAGGAATGGAAACTGTACCAACAGTGGTGCTAGGTTCAGGTAAACTGCTGAGGCCACTCTGGCACTTCTAAGCAAGTCAACCTCTTCCTGCTGTCCTCAGGCACCACCTCAGTCATCAGAAAGGCTGCACCGTATCACGTATCTGCAAAGGCATCTTGAGAAGCTAAAGAAAAGGCACTTGCTAAGCAGTCTGAAGAATCATACAGATTTTAGCGACATTTTGACACTGCCTCAGGTGATTTTACATTTTGTGTTTTCAAAAACCAACACAAAAAAGCCCAAATCAGCAAAGCGCTTTTGTGACTCCTGCACCAACTCCACAACAGAATGGCTTCCTAACCTCAAAACCAATTAATGTGTAATAAGTACTGTCTATTAGAATGTGATGTAGAGATGCTTCAGAAGTGGCAGAAACACGGCCAAGTTCCATAACACTCAAACTGAGAGGTTTAGTGAGGTCACAGTCCTTATCCGTAAATGATTCAGATTAGTTTCTCCAACCAGTTCCACAGAAAAGTCATGGCAGACAGACAAGAAATATCACAAGACTGAGATTTCTGACCAATCCAACACATGTAGACTTGACCACTTCAATTTGCAAGCAAGTGAAATACCTTCAAATTGGGAAGGTAACAAAAAACTGTCAGAGATGGGCCTCAGCAAAAGATCACCATATTTGGGTGCATTATGCCTTGGCACTCCTAAGGTCTGTGCCTTATCTCTTATCTCTTCAATTCTGCTACTTACAGAAAAGAACCTGCTCAATACACAGGAAGCAGATAAATACAGAAACCAAGAATAACCTTAAAAATGCCAGAATCCAATGCTGAATAGGAGTAGACCTTTTTTTTCATTTATGATGAGAAATAAATATGTGATTCCACATTACATTTTATGGAGATTTTCCTGATCAGGAGGAAGCTAATCTCCTTAAAAAGTAAAGAAGTACCGCCTGCTGTCCTAGTCTGCCAGGTCCTTCGTGAATCACGAACCTTGGAAAAACTGAGGGCAACTCCCTCATTTGAGAACATCACCTCCAACAAGTTTGAGCTTGACTGATTTCAGATCCAAGATGACATGAGATTCATCCCAGGAGAAAAAGCAGCAAAGATCTTCTACAAGGGATTGCAAAGAAACCTCAAAAATTTGTAGTCTGAAACTGGATACCCACTTTATTTCTGAGTGCCATGCACACTGCTCCTACTTCCTACTGTGAAAAGCAGTCCTTCAAATGAGGAAGGAGAAAACAGCAGCAAAAACACAATCAGAAGAGATGAGAACTTCAAAAGAACTGGCCTGTGGTGATTTGAGGCCTAACCTGTGAGAAAACCACAACCCAGAACAGGGAGATACACCAGCCTTCCAACAATCAGGTTCAAGCTCTCAGGCAGGTTACCAACCCTCCTGCCAGGCAACAGCACAGCTGGAGCAGCTGCAGAAGAACAAGGCAGACCTTACACATGTTCCTAGCATGTTCCAGCACTGCTTAGTTTCTCAGTTTCATAAAGGTGGCTTTCTGCTGAGCCAAAGGACAAACCATGAAGTTTTCATAGGACAGAGAGTTTAAGATGCATTTGTGAGTGATTGGGTTTTGCTTGGGGTGTTTTTTTTAAAATATATCCTGTGTATTAAATCTTAGGGTTTAGACATTTAACAAAATAACCTGAAATACATTAATTTTAATACACACATTTAAAATCTGATAGTTGGTATTTATGCCTAGACTCACTATAATGCAATAAAGTAATTTATGTGAAAAAACTTTCAAGCAGGATAATATAGGCTGCCAGCAATAAAATCCTAGCTATGTGCTTGGAAATACTGCTTCCCCAAGTGCTAAACCAGCTTTTTCCATCTCCTATTGCTTCTTCAAGAAATACAAATGTAGTTTCACCAGTTCAATCCTGTGATCACTCAGTTTTAAGTTATGAAATTAACTAGAGCGTGGAAAATCATAAAGACTTCTATTCATACAAACTGTTAAAAAGGGGGGAAAAATGCTCAGGTGAGGCTTAGCAACTAACAGTCTTAGGGAACACAGCAACCCAGAAGCAATCAGTTGAATTAATTAGCTATAAATAAAATGCAATGCATGCTAGTTTTGCAAGTGTATTAGCACAGTATGAGCGTTTAAAAGAAAATATTTAAGGAGTACATTAAACTCACAAAAAAATTTTCCATCCAAATGCAGCTCAACAAGAGTTACAAGAACTAATCTGCCAATTGCATATGAATTTAATGGTTTTATTCTGATGCTTAAAGTATAATTGTTTAAAAGCACCAGATATAGCCCACTTCAGATAAGCAAGAAACCATATTAATTATAATCATTAGTGAGTAAAACACAGCCTTTAAGTTTTAATGATTCCTAGCTAATAAAAATCAGCATTATCAAATGTTCAAGTCCTGAGAAAATGACCATTCTAGTTGGTCAATATAAATTACTACTGTAGAAGCAACTTAAGCTGCTGAACTTTGTCCTAAGCAGAAATTATTGAAGCTCAACATCTTCATGAAGTTAATTCGAAGTTTGGGACTTCTCTGACAGGAACAGCAGAAGTGTCCAGGAGGTAGAGTGCAGGTCTGTGAAGCAGTGTGAGCTCACTTGCCAGCTGAGAAAGAACAGACCTCTACAGCATTCCTAGTGAGCCCCACCACCTGCACCTCTTCTGCAAAACTGATCATGAGTTGCAAAGTGGCACAGATAGACAGACTCCTCAGTCGGAATTTAGATTTATCTAGATTTTTTAATACAGTAAATCAAGCACAAACAGACAAAATTTTAAAATTCCGATAGGAAGCCCTGGAGCTTTCCTATGCCACCTTCTAGCAAAGCAACACAAAAGATCTTGAAACAAGGTGGGGTGACTTGATGAGGAAGCAGCAGCAGGAACTACACAGAAGAGGAAATAAAACAGCCTGTGTGACACTTTCTCATCTGTTGTCTTTTCAAAACAGAGCAGGTAGCTATATTTAAGAGGTTCCTAGACAGAGATGGGTATCAAATACGAGATGAACAATCACAGAAGGAAAAGCAGTCACAGACCCTTAAAGCCAAAGCTTTCACTTCTAGTATGAAAGAGTAATAGGAGAT